TATATATTTAGTTTTTCGAGGCAGGGCTCCTCTGCGTAGCTCTAGCTGTCCTGGAACTTACTATGTAGACCAGGCTGGCCTTCAGAGGTCTTCCCTAGTGCTGGGATTAGAGGCCTGTGTCGTTATGCTCAGTGTGGACTTACATCATTTTTATGTGTGCCTGCCTGCATGTATGTATATGAAGCACATGGATGTCTGGTACCCACAGAAGCTAGTGGAGGGCATCAGAACCCCTGGAACTGGAGTTACAGACGTTGGAGCCACCATGTGGGTGCTGGAAACTGACCCTGGGTCCTCTGCAAGAGCAACAAGTGCTTTAGCTCCTGGGTCACTGCTCCAGCCCATGTTTTGGCTTTTTGAGACTGGGTCTCACTGCATAGCCCAGGCTAGCCTCTAACTTGTGATCTTCCTGAATTTGCCTTCTGAACTATGAAGACTAGAAGGTATACAACCATAAATTTTTTTGTTTGTTTTTTTGTTTTTGTTTTTTTCAAGACAGGGTTTCTCTGTGAACAGTCCTGGCTGTCCTGGAACTCCCTCTGTAGACCAGGCTGGGCTCGAACTCACAGAGATCCACCTGGCTCTGCCTCCCTAGTGCTGGGATTACAGGCATGTGCTACCACCACCCGGCAAGAATTTTTGATATAATTTTATTGAATTTCTTCTTATTATTTTATATGTGTGTGTGAGTGTGTGTGTATGTGTGTGAGTGTGTGTATGTGTGAGTGTGTGTGTATGTGTGAGTGTGTGAGTGTATGTGAGTGTGTGTATGTGTGAGTGTGTGTGTATGTATGAGTGTATGTGTGTGTGAGTCTGTGTGTGTGTGTGAGTGTGTGTTTGTGTGAGTGTGTGTGTGAGTGTGTGTATGTGTGAGTGTGAGTCTGTGTGTGTGTGTATGTGAGTGTGTGTGTGTGTGTGTGTGTGTGTGTGTGTGTATGTGTGTGTGAGTGTGTGTGTATGTGTGTGTGTGTGTGTGTGTGTGTGTGTGTGGAGGGAGTACACATGTGTGACACATGGAGGTCAGAGGACAAGTCTGTGGAGTTGCTCTTCTCCTCCCACCTTTATGTGGGTTCTGGGGATTGAACTCAGGCTGTCAGGCTTGTGTGCAAGCCCCTTCACCCTCTGAACCATCTTGTCAGTCCACAGTCAGAAGTTTTAAATTGCACACTGACTATGGTCAAGCGGTTCAGGACTATAATCCTAGCTTTCGGAAGGCTGAGGTCACATAGCAAAATCTCGTTTCAAAAGAAACATTTTGACTCTTGGGTCTGTCCCAGCTTTAACACATTTCCATTCTCAAGAGTGCCTTTCTTGTTAAATCGGTCTCTCTCTGCCTCTCTCCCTCTCGGATCCTCCTGTCTCGGCTTTCCAGCACTGGGTTACAAATGTCCACTGCCACTCCAGGGTTTTTACGGACGCTGGAGATCTGCAGTCAGGTCCTATGCCTGTGTCACACGGAGCCGTCCGTCTCCCCAGCCCCAAAGCGCCCTGTCCCGGCCTGCTTCACAAACAGCCAAGCACGATGGATGGCTCGTGTGTGTGTGTGTGTGTGTGTGTGTGTGTGTGTGTGTGTGTGTGTGTGTGTGTCCTCCTACACCAGGCAGTGGAGACGGGAGGATGGGGTTCAGGACCCTCTTCATCTAAGCCTCAAGCTTGAAGTCAGCCTGGGATACATGGGGTGCCATCTTAAAATAAACCCCCAAACCAAACAAGAAAGGAGCAAAAATCCTTGTGTGTGGCACATGCCTTTCATCCAACACTCCAGAGGCAGAGACAGGGAGATTTCTGTGAGTTCAAGGCCAGCCAGCTACACAGTAAGGCTGTCTAGAAGAAGAGAATGAAGGGGAGAAAAGGAGAGGGGAGGAGGAGGAAGAAGAGGAATAAATAAGAAGAGGTTAAGTAAGGAGAAAAGACTGTACGCTGTTTTGAGTAGCAGGATGAGATGTCACGATGTTTGGCCAGTGTGTCCATGCAGTAAATGCCACCCTCCTATTAGCCACTTAGCGGTCTTAATGTCAGACTGACTGTCTAAAATCATAGTTTCTTTTCTTTTTTTTTTTGAACATAAAAACAGGTTATAATTTAAAAGCCCAGGGTTATTTTAAACAGTAAAATATTTTCTCTGTAGAAAATAGTAAAAATGATAACATTTCCCATAAGCCCTTTTAAGCCAAATGATAGCTGAATTATACATATAAATATTGATTGGATTCTGGGATACAGAAGAAACCTATCTTCATCTGTTCAGAGAGCTATGTTTTACTTAAGTTGTGTAAGTGAGATTCCTATTCATCTTCCCCTTCACTGATTTACAGCAGACATTTTTCTATAGGCTAATCCATAATCTAAAAGGATTTTAGCCTCCCCTCCTGAAAGTACGGCCAGCATATTCTTTCATCAGCTTAATATGGTACAAATTCTTATCCTAATAGTGAAATGTTTTGCTAAAACTTGCCCAGTGATTAGGTAAAACTAAAACTTTTTATAAGCCACAGTCATCCTAGGGTCCCCCCTGCTAGGTAGCTTCCCTGGATCTGTGGATTGCAATCTATAAAAATCATAGTTTCTGTGTTAAGGAACCCTTATTTTAATTGGTTAATGGTTAATGCTGGTTATTTAGAAATACCTGAAAGAAACTGATAAAAATGTTTTCTTTAAGGGAAAAGGTGAAAGTTCTTCACATATGGAAAAGAGAGGATCACATGCTGAGGTAACTAATAAGGTCACTAATATCTAAGGAAAGAACAAATCTATCTGGGAAATTATGAAGAAGGAGCTGGCCTGGTGATGAGGCTTGCCATTCTAGGATGCTGAGGCAGGAGAGTCACAAGCTCAAAATACAAAGTAAGAAGACAAACTGAACATACCTGCAACCCCATGTTCAGGAGGGAGGGGCAGAAGGATCAGGGTTCAAGGACAAGCTCAGGCAGCGCTGCCGACCTGCCTGTGCTACATGAGACCCTGTGTCAAGAAACACAGAGGGCTGGGTGTGTCACTCAGTGTCCAGTGCTTGTTCACAAGGCCTGGAGCTTCCTCTCCAGTACAAAATTATAGTAATAAACTGGGGCCAGTGGCACATGTCCTTAATCCCAGCACTCAGGAGGCAGAAGCCGGCAGACCTCTGTGAGTTTGAGGACAGCCTGGGCTACAGAGTGAGTTCCAGGATATCAGACTACACAGAGAAACCCCGCCTCATAAACAAACAATCACATAAACAAAGAAGTAGAAATGTAAGTAAATAAGACATATAGAGGTGTTCATGTCAATCTCTGAGTCAGGCATCCACCAGGAGTCTTGGGATGTGTCCCTGATGGGTAAGGAGGTCAACTGTCTTATGTCACCACCATGTTCCTGATCTTTCCTGGATGGCTCACCTCTCAGGTAACACTTAGTAGGTTGCTTGTTGACTAAATTAATTAAAGGATAGAAAGCCATATTCCCACTGGCTTCCTCAGCCTCAGGATTAAATCACTCAACTTGGGGAGAAGACTCTGAAAGTCTGAACCCCTTAACCTCGATCACTCCCTCCTCTGAGCCTCTGTGCCAGCTGTCCCTGCTGCCCGGTCCCTCCAGGCCTCTGCTGGTCACCATCACATGACCCAACGCTGCCCCTGCACTGCCCTGCCCACCCCTCACTCACACATCTCATCCCCGGGGGCCTGAGAACATGAACATCAGCGACAGTGTTCAGACATGGCCACCTTTTATTATGTACCAGGCACTGTATTCTGTCTCGAATTCATGTCCAAGAGAGAGCAAGCCCTGCCTGGGCCATGCTCCATCCTTGGCCTCAAGCCCGGCTCTCGATAGTCAACATGTTCCCAACAGCTTGTGACACAGAGAACATGGGGACGCTCACAAGAGCAGGGATGTGGATGGAGCTGGGATGCCTTCAAGGTTTAGAGCAGCTGCGGGGAGGGAAGGGAGCCAACGGTGGCCGCTGGAGGATGGGGCTCAGGCATGGCTTGGCTCTTATAGAGCCCCTGCCTCGGATCCCCCGTGAGGGCCTGGGGCACGGCTCAGTGCGGGCCTGGCATGCAGAAGCCCCAGAGTCCCACTCCTAACACAAAACAATAGTCGTTCGTGGCTCTCCGAGGGTTAATGTGGGGGCTGGGGGCACAAGTGCATCCTGCTTTTGCTGAGACGATAACAAGAAATGTCTGAAAGCCACAGGCAGCTCTCCATGCACCACCCGCTGCCCTGAGACATCTGCCCTGCTCATAGGCGATCATGTAGACACAGGCAGAGAGAGTTCCCCGGTGGTCCCCGGGACAAGGGGCATGCAGGGGTTAGAGGAGGCCATCAAGGTAAGGGCTGGGTGGGGGGGGGGTGGGGCAGGAGCACTGTTACCTTTTGACTCCATAGGCCATGTTGAGCAAATTGTCCAGCCTGTGGAGGCAGAAGCAGCTGTCAGCGTGGCCTGTGACCCACCCCCTGTGATGTGACAGCCAGTCCTCCCCACCCCCACAGCCTTCCTCCCCCCTCCCCGGCGCCCGCTCCCAGCCCGGCTGGACACCGCCTGGCACGGAACCTCACTCACTCGGGACTGCTTCTCAGCAGCCCGGCTGCTGCCCAGCCTGAATGGTCCTGTCCTGCTCCCGAGGCCTCCGTGGGCCCTGCCAGGAGGACCCAGGGGCTGAGAGCTCTGGCTTAAGAGGAGGTGCTCATAAAGGTGGCAGTGTAGCCTCGGGGTTTCTCCTGAGCCCACGGGAGGACGCCCAGCTCCCCCCACACAGCCACCCCCAGAGCTACAAGGAGCTCCCTTTGACCTCCCGCTTGGGAGCAGCCAGGATCCCGGGTTCGAGTCTTCTTTTGGCTTGTCCACTCTCTGTCTCAGGTGAAGAAATCTCGGTAAATGCCATGGTACAAGCTCTGTTCTACCCAGTTATCATGCAGGAAATATGATCATGGCCAGCACACAGAAATGAGAGGAAATGTCTGGTGGTGGTGTTATCCACAAGGAGACTGAGGCACAGCGGGACCTATGTGTGTGTGTGGGGGGAGAGACAGAGAGGAGAGAGAGAGACAAAGAGAGACAAGAAGAGAAAGACACAGTACAGAGAGAGAGAGAGAGAGATACGGAGATAAAGACAGACAGAGAGACGGAAGAGGACATACGGACAGACTGACTGGCACAGAGAAAGGTAAGGGAGAAAGGACAGACAGACACACACAGAAAAAGACAAACAGAGAGAAAAATGGGAGACAGGATGTCTAGGTTGTTTTCTCATTTTTTTGGGGGGGGGGGGGGGGGGCTGGGCTTTTTTTGTTTGTTTGTTTTTGGTCAGTTTGACACAAACTAGGGTCAGCTAGGAAGAGGAACTTCAATTGAGAAAACGCTTCCATCACATTGGCCTGTGGGCAATTCTGTGGGGCATTTTCTTGACTGATGCCCACTGTGGGCGGTGCCACCTCTACGCAGGTGGGCCTGGGCCGTGAGAGAGAGCAGACTGAGCCGGGTACGGGCAGTGAGCCAGTAAGTGGTGCTCCTCCATGGTCTCGGCTTCAGTTCCTGCCTGCGGGTTCCTGATTTCCCCTCACAGTGGACCGTTAGCTGTAAGATGAAATTAACCCCTTTCTCCTCACACTGTTGTAATCATGGCGCTTTTTATCACAGCAATAGAAACCATGACCAAGACACATGGGGGATGGGGTGGGGAGGAAGAGACAGAGAGACAGAGACAGAGACGGAGAGCCACAGCTGGACTTCACTTGGCTGCCAATAGTAGTGGCCAGCATACCCTGAGCCCCTGTTCTCTGGACTGGGCACATGCCCTGACTTGTTCTGCTGGCAGGGTGTCCCTGGGTCCCCAGTCTGAGAAATAGGCTCAGGGAAATCGGCTGCAGGCTTGGGGCGCCTGGCCTGGGGTCCGGGGACTCTGGCTCACCGGAAGCGCTGTGTCTGATGATGCAGGGGCCCCGCGTAGCGCCGGGCAGAGGACTGGTACAGGTGGGTGAGCAGGGCCTGTCCCGTCTTCTGACTCGGGTTGTTTGCGAACTTGACGGTGATTGGCTCGGCTGCGCCCAGTGGTTTCTGTCCATTCAGTCCCTTGATGGCTTCCTCCGCCTCGATCCTCTTGTCAAAGCGGATGAATCCCACACCCCGAGAGACACCTGGCAGGGTGAGGGCATCGGACTCAGGTACTCTGTACCTTCTCGGGTGACTCTCCCTCCCTGGGACACCCTGGCCCTGAGCACCCTCTCTTCCTGGCGTTCTGACCTGTGGCCTGGTCCAGCAGGATTCTGGAAGTGATGATCCGACCATACTGGGAGAAGAGTTGTTCCATCTCCTTCTGGCTCATGGTCTTGGGGAGGCCGCTGACGTACAGGTTAGCATCCCGGATAGAGGCGGAACTGGGGCGTGCATAGGACACCTGGGCCGGGGATCAGAGGACAGTGAGGTTCAGAAAGGCCCCCCACCCCCACGAGTTCACTTAAGAAGTCGCCCAGGGCTGGGGCTGGGGTTGAGTGGGTGGAGCGCGTGTCTTACAAGCAAGAAGCCTGGGTTCCATGCCCAGCACCACACAGACAAGGTAATTCACACCTGTCATCCCAAGACCTGGCGGATGGAGGCAGAGGAGCCCAAGTTAAAAGCCATCTCTACTACACATTAAGTTCAAGTCTGGCCTGGGCCACGTGTTACCCCGTCTCAAAGAGCAAAGCAGGAGATGGAGAGGTGGTTCCAAAGGACTTGCTGCACAAGACGGAGCCCCCGAGCTGGGCCTCCAGCACCCACCTAAGAAAACACAGCAAAGCCAAAACCAGCCAGGCAGGCCATGGCGATGGCTCCATGATGATGTACCTTCGTGGAAGCCTGAGTCTGAGACCTCGAACCAATGGGGGAAGAAGAAAACCGACTCCCAAAGCATCCTCTGACCCCACTCCCACATGGCAGCATGCGTGTGCCCCCCTCCCACAACTAGTAATAATTCTTTATTTATTTATTTTTGGTTTTTTGAGACAGGGTTTCTCCGTGTAGTTTTGGTGCCTGTCCTGGATCTCACTCTGTAGCCCAGGCTGGCCTCGAACTCACAGAGATCCGCCTACCTCTGCCTCCTGAGTGCTGGGATTAAAGGCGTGCGCCACCACCACCGCCCAACAATAATTCATTTTTTATCTAAAACAAATGAGCTCCATGTTCTGGTGCACACCTGTCACCCCAGCTCCGGGAGGGTCTGCAGGGCAGTCCCTGGCTTCATGGCCAGCAAGTCTGAGCTTATGGACCATGCCCAGTTCTGAGTCTCAAGAAAAGAAAAGGTTTGGGAGAGCCAGGAGTGATGTCACAGGCCTTTAATCCCAGAACTGGGGAGGCAGAGGTAAGTGGACCTCTGTGAGTCTGAGGCCAGCCTGGTCTACAGAGTGAGTCTGAGGATAGCCAGGGTTGTGTAGTTGAGACCTGGTGTCAGACAAAAACATATAAAACAAATAAACCAACACAGGCGGGGGCTGGGAAACGTCCTTTCTGCAAAGGACCCGCGTCGGCTCCCCAGACCCCGGCGCACAATTATCACCCCCTGAGCCCAAAGTGTTATAGATACAAGGTTGTGCATGCCTTTTAGGGGTGGGGTGGGATGAGGTGGGTAGGAATTATCACCCCCTGGAAACTGTAACAAACTTATTTTTAATCTTCGCAAACTGAAACCAAAGGGATCTGACTTGCACTAATGTTTTACAACTCTACATTTGTATTAAAAATAATAAAAACAAAAAATGCAGGGCCCACAAGAGGGCTCAGCAGGCAAAGGGGCTTGCGGCCAAACCTGTCCACCTGAGTTCAATCCTTGGGTCACACATGGCAGGAGGAGAGGACCAACTCCTGCAAGTTGTCCTCTGACCTCCGTCCGCATCCTCGTGCCTTAAGAGCTCACTCCCTGACCTGTGTGTCATACACACATATACATGTCAAATAAAATTTTAAATGTAATTAAAAGAAAAGCAGGGTGGGTGATAATTGAATATTTCAGACAAAAAAATCAAAATGAAGAGACTGGCGCTCCCTGACCGGGCCTGCAGTTCAACACTTCCTCCTCCTTCCGGGCCTCGGCTACTGACCACACAGCTCCCGCGCTCACACTCTGTTCCACACGGCAGCCAAGGGCGCCCCCAACACTAAAGCTAGTTTCTTGCCCCACAGAATTCTCCGTGGCTCCCTCCTTCCTTCCTCCCTTTGCTTCAAGCTAAAGTCCTTTTAAGAAAAAAAATGTCACCGTGTGGTGACCCAGTGTCAGCTCCAGCACTCGAGAAGCAGAACAGGTGAGTTTGAAGCCAGGACAGCCAGGGCTACATAGAGACCCTGTCCAATTTTTTTTTTTTTTTTGGAGACAGGGTTTCCCTGTGTAGTTTTTTGGTGCCTGTCCTGGATCTTGCTTTGTAGACCAGGCTGGCTTTGAACTCAGAGATCCACCTGCCTCTGCCTCCCAAATGCTGAGATTAAAGGCGTGTGCCACCCAGCTCTGTCCAAAATTTTTAACAGTTTGTTTTGTTTTTGAGACAGGGTCTCACTATGTAGCTCTGGTTGTCCTGGAACTCACTCTATAGACCAGGCTGGCCTCGAACTCACAGATCTGCCTGACTCTGCCTCCCAAGTGCTGGAATTACAGATGTGTACTTTAAGAAAAAGGCTTATTTTGTATTATTATTGTTATTATTATTATTCAAGATAGGGTTTCTCTGTGTATCCCTGTCTGTCCTGGATCTCGCTCTGTAGCCCAGGCTGGCCTTGAATTCACAGAGATCCACCTGCCTCTGCCTTCCCAGTGCGGGGATTAAAGGTGTGCGCCACCACCACCACCGCCTGGTGTTTACTTTTATTTTATGTGTATGAATGTTCTGCCTGCAGGTATGGGTGTGCATTGGGTGCATGTAGTACCCGCAGGGCCCAGAAAAGAGCACCAGCGTCCCTGGAACCGGAGTCACAGACAATTATGACAGGCTCGGTAGGTGCTGGGAACTGAACCTCGGTTTCCTGGCAGATCAGCCAGTGCTCTTAACTGCTAAGCCATCTCTCAAGTTCCAAAAAATGAAACAGCTCTAAATTACATTTGAGTGTGCACATGTGTGTGTGTGTGTGTGTGTGTGTGTGTGCAAGTGCCATGCTTAATTGCAGAGGTCAGACAGCAGCTTAGGAAGGTAGTTCTTGGCACCTTTCCCCATAAGCCACCTACCCAGCTACCCAGCCCAAGTCTGTGTGCGTGTGTGTGTGTGTGCGGTGTGAGGACTGACCCCAGGGACTTGCTCTACCACTAAACTACAGCTCCGTCCTCCAAACTCCGTGCCCACAAGGCCTTGCATTCGGCCAGGTCTCCTCTCTGCTCTCACCCCCCTCACTTCCCCATCATTACATCCTTTCTTTTACCCAAATGCACCAGGCCTGTCCAGCCTCAGGACTTTTGCACCTGCTGTTTTTGGTGCTGGAAAGTCTGTTCGTGCTGGCCTGGGCGGCTCGTGTCTGTAATAGCAACACTCTGCAGGATTCCATGGGATGACTGTCTGGGGCTCAAGGCCAGCTGAGTCACAGAACGAGATGGAGGCCCTGTCTCAACCCGCCCCACAGAAACGCTCTTTCCTTTTTCTGCCAGTTTGAAGTTTGAAATGTCCTCTCCACCCTCCCCGATTCTCAGCTTTTTGTTTTTTTTACATTAATTTATTTTTAGGGTGTGTGTGTGTGTGTGTGTGTGTGTGTGGTGTGTGTGTGTGTGTGTGAGTTCTGCCTGTACCATGTGGATTTCAGTGATCCAAACTCAAGGATCAGGTTTGGCAGCAACCCACTGGACCCTCTCACTGGCCCTGCTATGACCCCATCTCAAGGTGCTTTTCTTTGGCTTGTGGGCTGTGGCCATTCGGTGAGACCATTCCATTTGTGTCATTGTAAGAACACATCTCAGCAACTCTGCAGCTGCTCACAAGTCCGCCGACTCAGCCATTCACAGCTCGAGACACTGGCCAGTATTGTCAAGTGGGGGAAGAAAGTCTGTTTACAGAGTAGTATGGAACCCCGGCTCATTGTGTCTTCATCAATGTCCTGGAGACGCGGTGCAGAGGCCCCGCCCACAAGTGTCAATGGGGTGACCAGTCTCTGTGGTGGGAGGGTCGAGAGCACCCCTCCCCCTCCCTTCTGCTGTTTCTATTCAAACCTCTAAATCTGATGTAGACAGGGGCCATTGTAACGGGTCTGGCATTTGTTTGGGGAGATGCCTTGTGGAGCTGTATTGCTTCGTTACAAATAACTAATCAGGGGCCGCTGAGATGGGTGAGCAGGTAAAGGCGCTTGTCACCAAGCCTGATGACCTGAATTGGATCTCTCAGACTCACAGGGTGAAGGAGAGAACAGACTCCCAAAGCTGTCCTCTGGCTTACACACACACACACACACACACACACACACACACACACACACTGAGTAAATGTAGTGAAATTCTTAAAAAGAAGTAACTAATTAGGGCCGGGGCTGTCACTCAGGGAGCAAGTGGAAGGCTACCTCCATCTTTCCCTGTGTGAGCGGGTGTGGTGGCGCACTGGAGGTGGAGGCAGGCACACCTCCCTGTGAGTTCCAGACCTGTTTGGTCTACACAGCATGCTTCCGGCCACCTGGAGCTGTATAGTGAGAGCCTGTCTCAAAAATATTTCTTTACACACACACACACACACACACACACACACACACACACACACACACACAAATTTAAAAATTGCAGGCGAGTGTTTGAGGTTTCCTAACTCTATCATGGCACTGTGAGAGTTTATATGGTTTGTTTGTCGTCGTCGTGGTTACTGTTTTTGAGACAGGGTCTCACTATACAGCCCTGGGGCGTCTGGAGCATCTGTGCACACCGGGCTGGCCTCCTGCTCACAGAGACCCAGAGTTCGGGGATTACAGGTGTGCAATACCATGCCCAGCTTGGGATAGTGTGCTTTAGTCTCTCTATGGAGTCCTAGACAGCCTGGGAGTCACAGCAACCCTTCTGCCTCAGCCTTGAGTGATGAAATGACAGGCATGTGCCACCACACCCAGCTAGGGTAGCATCTTAGGTCTCAGGTCACGGAAGGTGCAGGGTAGATCTCCCCATCTTTCTTCTGTCTGTGTGTGGAGGTCGGAACCCACAATGCTACAGTGAGTTAAGAGGAAGGGCAGCCAGTGTTGGTCTTCACTTTCTTCACCATGGACACTAGCACACCTGGCCTGGAAGCTTCCAGAGAGTCTCCTGTGTCCACTTCCTGCCTACAGTGCCCACAACCGAGTCTGTGGTCACATGAGTTCCGGGATTTGAATTTAGGTCCTCACACTTCCGCAGCAAGCACCTGACACACCTGTGCAGCAGTTTCCTCCAAGACTGAAACATTCCAAAGCTCCTTAAGCAGGAAGGTTAGTAACTCA